AACTTACACTACCTTCTTAAATTTGCATCAGTAGCATCTAGTGGCTGCTGGATTTTATCAATTTGAAGCTCTAATGTATAGTTATAGGTACAGGTTAACGGCCCAGTATGTGTGTTAAGAAGTTTACTAATTAAGACATAATTGACTTCGAACCAGTAAATCAAAAGAATTGTGGTAAAAGCACAAATTTGAATGCCATAAATTTCAAATCCTGGATCCATCTCTAGCACCTAGTGCCTCTAAAGAAACAAACTAAGGTAAATGCTCCGGAGAACAAGGCATTTTTCCCATAGTTGAAAATCATCAAAAAATTGCAGATCACTTGTACTGCAACGAAATACTAGTAATAACGCGATTCCAAAAGCCCGATGATTAATCCAAAATTTACTTTATATAGATAAAATATTCAAAGATCCAAATATTAGACAGGAAACCGACATCCTAAAGCATCAAAACTTTAGCAAGACATTTACATTTCTTTTAAAAATCAAACTTTTCAGGAACCGAACAGATCCCCAATAGAAGAAAAGGCAGCTCGTAATTGTTCCAATTTCTCATGGAATTGAGAGTTAAAACTAGCAGTTCGAAACAGAGTTATGCATTTAAATTAACAAAACAAGTGAAGAAGAATAACCGCAAATTAACATAATAAAGTGCTTACAGTGCTTCTTCTCCGCTCAGCAGCAACGGCCAAACCAAAAGCAATTAGATTCAACACGAACACAGTTATCATTAACAGCTTCGAAGCCATTGGTACTGAAACCGTTCACACAAATCTAGATTTCTTTCTCAGTCTTCTCTCTCTTTCTATGTACTTCTCTCTCTCTCTAGATATACTAAAGAGCCTTTGAGTAATGAAGAAGCAGCAGCAACTGACCAAAACAATAACAAACAATAAATTACCAAATATAATGACGTTATAACAGTTAACCAGAAATCTGAGCTACTACTCAATAGTCAATGCTCAGTACTAACCACACCGCTCTATTCAATTTGTGTCGTTTCATTTTTGGTAAGTTATAGGTGTCGGTGGCGTCAATTGTGGTAAACAGAAGTTTCAGATCTAAACGGCGTCTCTTGTCATATGTAACGTCACCCTGACGATAACGATATCTTTTAGAGAAAATGAAAAGATGCGTACAAATTAAAGAAAGAAAGACTTGGCCAGTTTGGAGGTTTTTTTACTTTTTCTTTCCTTTTTCATTTTGAAGAAAACCCCACTCGCAAAATGTATATTACGTGCTGGCATGAAACTCGTGTGATACAAAGTGACTAATTTTTTTCTAGGAATAAAGTTTCAAATATATCCCTTTACTTTCAGATATTCATTACATTTAATCTTCGTTGACAAAATTTATTTTTACCATTATATTTTCCAGCCAAATTTACTATTGTGGTTAAGCCAAGTGGCAAGCTAATAAATATCAATAGTATATAGTAACTTTATTCTATATTTGATCATCTTAGTCAAATACATATATCTAAAAAAACTGAATATAAATTAAAGGATATTTTGAATTTATAGATAAAGTTTTTAAATCTATATANCAAGCTAATAAATGCCAATAGTACATGGTAACTTTATTCTATATTTGATCATCTTAGTCAAATACATATATATATCTAAAAAAACTGAATATGAATTAAAGGATATTTTGAATTTATAGATAAATTTTTTAAATTTGAATTAAAATAAAATAAAAATTATCTTTTATTATCATGTTATCATACTTAATTAGGTTAATGATCGTATGCAATCATGTTAGGAACTTTTGTTATCTTATCTAATTATTTAAATACTACTTCGGCTCTGGCAAAAAAGAAAAAAAAAACTACTCCATATAACTATAAAACTCTTTCACATTTAAAACTATATACTTATAGTTCTTTAAAACACTATAGCTAGATTTGAATAAAGCGAATTTCTTTTAAAATAAATGTAATATATAGGGTACACGTCTATGTTTATCCATATAACAAAAAGGAGTTTAAAAATCGAATAAAAGTTTACTTACATATATAATGAAGTAATCCTATATGCTGGAGAAAGAAACATTACAAAAATTAGTCAATATTAAAAAAAATTATTTTTCTTTTTCTTTTTGAAGAATGTTACTTTGAAGAGTCAATTTGTATAAATGGACATCAAACAAATAACACAACTTTGGCTATACAATTGCTATCATTAATTTTAATTTAGCACCTTCTAGGAATTTAAGAGTACAAGGTGAAACCTCTTCATTTAGCTGCAACCAATCCAACATTATAAGGGTATAATATTTTTTCATTGAAGAATATTAGTTTTGAATCATTAGATTATGTGAAAGGTTTTTTTTTTCTTCTCAAATTCAACGAGAGGGATATTGGTTTCTAATTGATAGTTTTTATACCGATGTTCAAGTGTAACAAAAAGTATATAAAAAAATGGTATGACGTATACTATTTTTTTTTAAATCTAAATAAATTATTCAAAATATGATTATATTTTAAAATATAATTTAGTTTTAAGAATAAAAATATAAGATATTCTTGAATTTTAGTAGAGAGTTTTTAAAATTATTATAATAAAACTCATATCATGGATAAAATCAAGAAACCGAAATCTTATGGAATGTTTACATAAATATCCGGCCAGATTTATTGTTTACTTCCTATAACTAATATACATAGATGATATACCGACAACACACGATTATACACATATTATGTATGGATTATATATAAACTATACATCCTTCAATTTTTTAATTTAAGTGGTTGGGTGAGCACCTATGTAGGTTGATTAGATAAAACCAAAAGAAAAATATGAAAGAATTTCAACCAAAGACTAAAAATATAAATAAAGCTCTTATGTAGACAATTTCTATTAAAACTCATCCTTTTTATAGCGAAATAAATTAATTTTTTGTAACAAAATAAAGAAAGGCACAAAAAATAAGATAAAAGAAAACAAATATAGAAAAAATATATGAAAAATCTAAAAACCAGAAATAAGGGACGACAACGAATTTATTTTTCTATTTCATCTTTGTTGAGTATAAAAAATTTGGAAGTTGATCTCATCGATTTCAAATATTTTTTTCAACTCAAATACATAGTTTATAAGATAAGGATATCTTAGATTTTTTTTTTAATTTACATTGTGGGTCATTTTTAAAAAATCATCATTACTAACAAACTGATATGATATTTGAATTTGAATTTAAATGCAATTTGAGTAATTTGCATTGAGGTTAAGCCAAGTATAGTATCGAGAAAAAACTACTTGGCAATTTTAACACAATATATGCAATATTATATAATAATAATCAACTAATTTAACATTTAATGATTCAAAGAAAAAAAAATTATATACATAGAATATTCAAAATTCAAAATATGTGTCTAGAGATATCGATAAACTCAAAATGGAGTCATACTGAAATAAAGTTTCACCAGCTAAAGAATTATTTAAATTTTTAGATAGCTGATTAAGGTGGATTTTAAATTAAGGATAATATCGTCACTTGTATCATTATAAATATAATCATTATTGAAATATATATAAAAAAAATTAAAAATTGAAATTAAAAATAGAAATATTTTTTGAAAGATAACAACATACCAAGTAAGAGTTCTCGTCGTAGTAAAAGAGTCACGTCGTAACCAAAGAATCGTTCATATTGTGTCAACCTTTGTGCTTTGCCATAAATACGAGTTATTATTTTGCTCTATGGCTATTTTTAGGTTCTAATAACACCAATGAGAATGATGCAAAAATAAAATTATCACTACGAGATTTGAGAAAATTGTTAGTCTTTTTTCATGTAGTGTTTATGAATTAATATCTAACGATTATCTATAATTATCTAGAAGGTTTAAATTTTAAGATTATTTACATATAATTCAAATAACTCAGATATTTAATATGGTTAATGTCAAATATTAAAATAGAGTCATACTGGAAAAGAAATTCATTGGCTAAAGAATTTTTTAAATTTTTAGATAGCCGACTAAAATGAATTTTGAATTAAGGATAATATTTTCAGTTATATTATTATAAAAATAATTATTATTGAAAAATAAAGTTTTAGAAACTGAAATTTTAAAATAGAAATATTTTTTGAAAGATATCAACACACCAAATAAGAGTTCAAGTAGAGTCCTTCATAGTCTCAACCTTTGGTTGTTTTTCCATAAATATGAGTTATTATTTTGCTTCCTGACTAATTTTAGGATCCAATAACACCAACGAGAATGGTACCAAAAAAGAAAAATAGAGTTATAACTAGGAGATTTGATAAATGGTTAATCTTTTTCATGTAGTATTTCTTAATTAATATCCAATTATTATCTATATTTATCGAGAATGTTTAAATTTTAAGATTATTTATATATAATAACTAAAATATTTGACATGGTTAGTGTCCGCGCATCCGCGCGGGTGATAATACTAGTATATATGTGTAACGATCTAATCGGTCATTTCGACTTTTAAAACCCCGTTCCCCTAAATAAAACTCCCTCAATGTGTTTTTAATATTTTATGACTTGCGGGGATGGTTGGTTCGAGATTTGGAAGTGTTTGGGTTGAAATCGGAACACTTGGTTCCTTAAGTTAGCTTTAAAAGGGTAAGTTTGACTTCGGTCAACATTTTGAGAAAACGACCCCGGAATCGGGATTTGAAGGTTCCAGTAAGTTCTTATGTTAATAAGTGAACGAGTCATATTATAAGTGATGTAGGGTCTAAGGAGAGCCCTAAGTCTTAATCAAGTTGAAAATTACATGATAGACTAAAGTTCCAAATGAGTACACACAAAAACCTAATTTTGGACGAGTATGCCTATATATATATATAAGGGGTTATATAGTGGACAACCTATCAAATGAAAGATCTTCGAGTCTAGTTTCTAACGCTTTCAACCGTTCGTCATTTGGATATTTCTACAAGGATTTATGGACATTTTAGTAAAAAGTGTCCAGCATGGCAAAACTTGTAATACGAGGTACAACCTGCACAGCGCAAGGTACAACTCGCTGAAGAGCCTGTGCCTTTATAAGGCAGTCACGGGCCGCAGCCATATTTGGGGATTTTCTTGAGCTAGGGATTGGTTCTTTCATGGTGGATTCGACCTTGGGGATTACTTAAGAATACAAGGTGAGTTTTTTTGGATACTTTAAGTTAATAACATCCTATTAACACTAGTATTAACATCCTTCAATATTTGAAATCCCTAAAAATCTTTCAAGTTGTTCAAGAACACCAAATTTTCCAAATATTGAAATTTCAAGGAAAAGTTTCAAGAAGGTAATACTAATGCTTCAAGCTCATTTCTTATGAGTCGGTGAGAGTAATTCTAATATTTGTTTCAAGTTATTATGGTTGGATAATTGATTTCATAAACTCTAGTTCATGGCATGAATAGTGTTCTTGAGAAAATGTGGGAAAGATAAATAGTGTTCTTAGAAATGAAATTAAAGGATGCAATGAATCTATGGAATCATTTTCTAGCTTAGTTGGTAGTATTCAACTAAGTAATCACCAAATTGAATGTTTTGGAAATGTTGGTTAAGGAAGACGATGAATAGTAATTTGACGGTGTTAGAGAATTAATGTAGTATCATTGAGGATTTCAAATGGGTATTGAATGATAAGAGTGGAGTTGAATATGCTAGTAAGTGAACCTATTAGACGATTTGAGCTGGAGGCTTGTAGACAACTTGAGAGCCATAAATGGATATTAATAAATATGTTTAAGTCATATATTTATTGTAATTGAGATTGTAATTGTAGATATCAATTTGTTGGTGGCGTATGAGCATCTTACTCAATGTTATGATGTCGGGGGAGGATTAAAAGCTTGTGAATATTAATAAAGCAAAAGCGAGTTTTGGGGCATTGGGCATCAGTCGAGTTATTTGAAAGGCTTGGGAGCCGGCTATGGAACTTCGAAGCGAGGTAAGTCTCTTGTCTAATCTTGTGAGGGGAAAATTACCCCATAGGTGATTATATTAATAATGGTTGCTTATTGTAGGGGCTACGTACGCACGAGGTGACGAGAGTCCGTGCGT